AATGCAGTAATAATAAATAAAAAAATAATATACAGCTATAACAATTAGTAAAAATAATAAATAGTAGAGCTTAATATCTGTATTGTACAGAGAGGTTTTTTTTGGTTCATGTCTTAATAATGGTTTTAAGAATTCTAAATCAAATAAATCTTTTACTAAACCTACAATTTAATAACAGTGTGGTTAAATTGTAGGTTTCAAATGGTATCGTTAGTATTGTCACGTTGAGCAATCCACGTCGAGTTTCTGGAGCAGTAACCAATTATTAGATCGGCTAAGTTAATTTCTTTGTAGCGATTACGTTGTTTGAGTGCCGTAGGCCATATGGCCTTATTAGTTTAAGAACCATTGCGGATTGATATTCCGGGATGGATGCCTTGCTGTTGATCTACAGACATTATACATCCTATTTTAAAGGAATTTACAGTCCATACTTCTGCTTCCTCCTTGATTTGTAATTTTCTTAAGAAGGGTATGATTCTCTTTGAAAGAAAATATTTTTAGGACAAAAATATCCAGCTATAACCTACTGTAGCAGCGGGTGTCAGGAGAAAAAGCTTTGAAGCTCCAGGGTTCGTTAACATTGTTTTTAATTGCCTGAGGCCTAGAGAATGACGTCAACCAACGAATTAAAGTTTGAGCAAAGGGGACGAACTTTGGTTGGCTGGAATCAATGCACATACATTTACATCAATGTTTGTTTGGCCACAGACCCTAATACGATAGGGTCTGTGGTTTGGCATTATATATCTAATTTGTATCTCAGCCATTGTTAGCCATAGCGTTGTTGTTTTTCAGTATTTTGCCTTTTAACTTATGTGTATTCGATTCCCACCAGAGACCTCTTTTTTCATACAACTATAATGAAGAACTTTCGTTGATGAACTATGTTTGATACGATTTTATAACATCATGTTTCTATAAATTTGAGCACTGTATTATTATCTATGTAAAACATAGGGAGCACAAAACATAGGGAAAATGTTCCACAGGCAGGAACACAAGCAACCGGTTACAAGTAACATAACGGAA